AGTTCCCAAGGATTTGTAAATCCAGAGAAATTCCAATTTTAAACAATGACTCGTCCCTGGTCATTGTCGCCGATCAACGATGTAATATCCGCATATCCTCAGTTTCCGCTTGTAGAAACTATGGCAACACACAGACACAAATGCTGCTGTACAGTTAAACTAAATCCATTATGGCTGTCGCGAATAAAATGCGAATGAAATGAAGTGTTGACCACAACATTAAATTTAGATCTGCTCAGTGTTGCGCCATGATTTTTTTAATGCATTTTTACAGTGTTGCGCATTATAACCAATCACACACGAGTCTGTTGAGCTTATGAATGCAATGGCCAATCAGAGGCGTTCAGATGAGTTTTTGTTCAGTGCACGGCGCTGGCTGATTGAATTCAGCTCTCACGCGAATTCTCTCATCAGTGCACGGCGCTTGCTGACTGAATTCAGCTCTCACGTGAATTCTCTCATCATAAACAAGATGTAGATTAGGGCTGCACGATAAAATCGCATGCGATATTTAATGTGCATCTTGTCAGTAAAGCCGGTTCTGTAATCAGCGAAAGCACGCACGTGATGGAGTCGTGCACACGTGATGGAGTCGATTTATCGTGCAGCCCTAATGTAGATGTATTAATTCATAAAACCGTGTATAGACCGCTTTACTGATTATAAGGGGAGTTTTTTGAGAGTGCTTAAACTCGCGCTAGACTTAAGTCAGTCATAATGTTCTTTGACAGTGTAAATGTTTGCTTTGCTTGCATTCACTTTATAATTTATTTGCTGTTTGAATAACTATGGAAGGTACAGGTAATAAAAAAAATAATTAATTACCTCATCCGTGAACATCCTCCTTCATAGCGTCATCAAACTTCGCCTTTGTTATTGTTTTGAAAATGCGACCTCTAGTGGCGAAAACGTACATATTGTACCTTTAAGCTCACGTACCCATTAAGCACATTTCCATTTTTGAGCTCAGATTATAAAAAGAAAAAATACTGTATTATCCTACTTGATGTCTTAACTAGGGCTGGGCGATATAGCAAAAAAATGTATCAACGATAAAATGTTTCATATCATTCTGTATCGATAATTATTGACATTTTATATAACCTTTTTTAAAACAAAGAGCAATAGAAAAAATGTTTAAATTTAACCACTGTATTTTTAAATTAACCCAATTTATTGAGACAAACAACAAATATTTTTTGTTTTAACAGTCAAACACAAAATAAAAATTAAACAAATATCAAATTTCTAATGTTTTATATGTAGATTAAATAGGTCTGAAGGAAACTTTTGGCTTGTCTCCCGAAGCCACAGGAGGGCACAATGAGCAAAATAATGCAGCACATTAAATTGCCAACGCAAAGGAAATAACTGTCTATAAAAAAAAAACGTGCATTACGTCTAAATAAACTCATATAAATCAAACATAATTTCGTAAATTGCATAAACAATTCTGAACAAAACAGCATCATGTATTTATGCATTGCTTAATACAAAGAGCCGCTCCACAAATTCGTGACGTGTTTTCTAAAAGTTTAAACTTTGTTTGAACTTTTCGTGGCTTTCTATACATCTCTTGTGTGAGACGTGAGAGCAACAGTCATAATTTGTCTGTCTAAAAATGCACTGAATATGCGTTCTGTGTGAATGGCTTGGTTTCGGTTTTAACCTAATCAAGATCTTCTACGCATTGAGCTACTATATTTCTCTAATATTTTGAATGAATAACGCAGCAACTGCGCGTCTTGTGGGCTAGACTTAGGCCTATATAACATTAAAATGCAACAACGTCACTTACATAATCATCACCGCATCTCACGCTCCACTAATGACGCTCCCAGATGCACACCTAACATTTGATTGTACTATTTTTGCATTCAAATGCAAATGTTTATTTTAAATTCGACTAAT